TTTAACTTCCTATGAGAATATGAATGGATTTGCTACTGACTTGAAAGCAATGGTTCCCAAACTATTGAACTAAGGCACACTGTCAAACAAGTGTCACCAAAAGTATACATAATACCAGACTTAATCAGAACTGGCCAACCTCAACCTATACCTGGTCGTTTCTACAGAAGGTGCACTTCATTTGATTACCTAACTGTCCTGCTACTTCTTGACCACAAATTAGTGTATCATCATGCACATTATGGGTGGCACGGTGGAAACTGGTTAGCACATCTGCCTCACTGCGCAGAGTTCCAGGGTTTGATACCGGCAATGGCCTTCCAGTGTAGTTTGCATGTTCTCCCGTGACTGTGTGGGTTTACTCCGGGTATTCTGGTTTCGTCCCACATTCCAAAAACATGTTGATTAAACCCAAGATGTGATTGTGAGTGTGAATTGTTTGTCTATGAGTGCCCAAAGACAGCTGGGATAGGCTCCAGCATGCTCGCGGCCCTCGAGAGGATAAGGGGATCAGTTAATGGATGGATGGATTATGCACATTCCACCGTGTTTGAGGCAACAAATTAGTAATTTGTGCCTATGAATTACAATTTTGTGCAAACAGTATCTATATTGTGGCATTCCCCACTATAATGTGTTTTTTTTATATATATATATATATATATATAGGTGGATGATATCTCAATTAGCTCTCACAAATGTACTTGTGAAATGTGGGCCTGTTTAGTTGTGCACAATGCAATGTCAGTATTCTGTTGTATGAATGACACCAGGTGGTTACACAGGTAATTTTTACCTACTGCCATCTAGTGGAATTGCATTTAATTCTGTCAATGTCTGGCACAGCTCGATGAACGAAAAGACATAATTTATTGTAAATAAACAATATTCAAAACCATTTTCAAACCATTTAAGTGAAATTGAACATGCATCATATCACTGCATCAGATGAGTTTCTTGTCTTAAGTTGGCATTCTTTGTTGAAAGATGCTTTAATTTTGCACCAACTGTTGTGTTCAAAATCATTAAATCATACAAATGTCCCAATGGGGTTTGGGTGATTGGAGGGTTCCAGGTTGGTGTGTCAGTCTTTCATCATCTCCGGATCCTGGTTTTCAGCGGCCATTTTGAGCTCCTTTTGCCTCTGCATGTAGCGGTAGGCCCGCATGCTGCACAGGTACCCACCATAGAGGGTCAGCAGCATCATGGAGGCCGAAAAGGCCCGGTACCCCATGTCGGCCAAACGTTTTCCGGTAACCATGGTTATGGCCTTGTTTTTAAGGAGAAAGTAAAAGATTTTCAGTTCATCAACTTTGAGTGAAATGAACTCAAACTTGCTTAAAGGTTATTGGACAAAAGAATGATTAAAACAGTTAGCCAAAATCATCTGAGTATTTGAATACAACAGTGAATCCCTGCTATTCACAAGAGATATGAACCAAGCCCTGACGTGAATGACCACAAATTGACGGTAATGGAGAGGTTGTAGTTGCCTATTGAGGAAAATGGAAAGCGAACAGAGGACTAAATTTGTCAAAATTAAGATCTTCGCTTCAAATTGATTCTGAGGACGAGTTTTCAACAATTCACAGGATACGTTCCCAAAACAACTTGAAGAAGCAATTTTGTGAACGCTGAGAGGCGAATCAAAATTACTTTGTCAGATTATTCAAACATTACTAGCGTAGTAGTAATTAAATTAGTCCATTTTAATTGCTGTAATAAGTTCGAGTTTGAGACTGGTGCTATGACGTTTCAAATTCTTTAATAGTTACTTTTTTGTAACTGCCAGTTAAGCAGTTACGTGTTCAGTGCGAAACATATAAATAGCACAATGACAGTATATCTATTTCGTGTGCGTATACGTGACACGAGCTTTTTTTCTATTCTAAAAACCTATCAAATACCTACCTGACAATATTTTTACTCTGAAGTACCTGAGATCGAGTAGTGTTCCACAAAGCTTAACACAACTGAGTACACTTGCTTCAGATGCGACTCACTAATTTGCCAATAGTACACTATTGTAACGTTGTAAGTAGTAATTGAATAATCGCTTACTATCTTAGGGGGAAACGGCACAGTATTTGCCTTCCTGACATCAGTGCGAACCAACCAAAGTGTCTGCAAAAGCGTGACGTGTCTATGTTCAGCTCATGCAAACAAGTCATCGCGTCGTCAGAAATTTTACAATGCTCCTTATTTCCTTACCTGACTTTTCTTCAAATCAAGGTAAGTATTGTATGTGTTCAATGTCACAGTGCGGTTAGCAGAAATGCTACCACTCCATTTCGTAAGGGGTACGGAAAGCAAGAAGGTAGCGCTCTTCCTCTACGCTTCTTTTTGTCCATCGGGAAATCACACAGCGCTATCTAACGTATCTAATGCTGTATTTAAACCTCGATTTTTGTATTAATTGTTTTAAATTTTAAAATGATTGTGCTTTGTTAAGTTAATGTATAATGTCAAAAAAAGTCAGTGACGTAATTTCGTTTATTGATTTCTTAACTGGATTTAGCAATGCATAGTACACCTGCTTCAAATAACAAGGCGTACATAAGAAAATGTGTTACGATTGCGCCGTTGTCTTTGTTGTATGTTCTGTGGTATTATTGTTATCCATCCATTTTCACATCCGCTATCCCAGCTGTCTTTGGACAGTAGCCAGGGTACACTCTGAACTGGTTGCCAGCTAATCGCAGGGCACACAAACAGGAACAACCATTTGCGCACCCAATCACACCTGGGGTTAATATAAAGAGTTCCATGCCATGCACGTTTTTACAGTGTAGGAGGAAAACGGAGCACCCAGAGAAAACTCATGTCGGCACGGGGAGAAGTATTCATTCTTACAGGGACGTCACTAGGTTTCAAGAACAAGGGGGGCTTAGCCCCAAGGGGAACACAGCCCCTTTAGGGGGGTCCGGGGTCATGCTCCCCCGGGAGAAATTTTTTCTACATTCTGTTAAAAATCCATCAATTCCGTGCACTTTGAGAGCAAAATGAAGAGGCTATGAAGAACTACACACATCACATTAGTGTCCTCTTTACTATGATGGGGCTTCCTCCCCTGGACTTTAACTGGACTAGATAATAGAAATTACAAAGAGTTCAAAAGTTCAATCTTGGTTGTTCAAGGGAATTAGAAGGATGCCCGATAACATAACCTATATGACAGTAGTCCTATATTCCTCTCTACCAAAATGTATTAATATATGCTTAGCAGTGGCGGGCCGTGCATTTCAACCTTAGGCCTTCAGTGACGTCACATACATACACAATATAGGCTCGTCAAGCAG